TATTAACCAAGCTTGCTCGGGACCGTACTGGAAGAATATCGGCCCTCGGTCTTTTTTGTACTGTCAAGACCTCGGGCCGATATTCTCCCAGTACGGCCCTCACGCTTGGTTAATAAGATATATGTTACGTAGGTCAAATTCATAGCTGCAATAGTTTTTCCCAGCAGCAGTTCATTCTTCTACTCCTCCTAAAACGCTGTTTCATCAATTGCTGAATTCCTCATGAAAGTTAAAAAAAAGAGTATAGCTTTGAAGAATCGTAGTCGACTTTCTCAGTCTCTTCTATTCTCTGTATTTCTTGAAAAACTCCTGGCGATAAAGAACCATCACTAAGACAGAGAGAAATACTACAAATGAATACTGTTTAATTAATTTCTTCATTTTTAAACTTGTAGTTCCGGCCGAGATACTGGCGCAAGGACCCGTTGCAAAACGGCTTTATGAAGAAGCTCTAAAGGATGGGTCTCTAAGTGTTTATCGAACTCGAATATTGATCACTGGTCAGGATCGTGCTGGCAAAACAAGCTTGAAAAAGTCACTCTTGGGTCAACCATTCGACCCTGAAGAACAGAGTACCGATGGAATTGAGGTCGATCCATCTAAGTGCGCCATTAAAGTTGACCAAATTAAGAACTGGAATTCGACAGGTAAAAAGGAATCATGTTTGAGTGAATGCTGTGAAGAGATATCAAGAATGTTGGCTGAAAAAAGATATCAATGGATTCTTCAAAAAGAACAAATGGAATCAGAAGAAGTGCCTCATGAAGAACCTAAAGAAAAACCCGCGGAAGACTCCAACATCAAGGATGAAAATGAGGTTTGTCATAATGCGAGTTTTGAATTCACACACTCCATATGACCTAGTGTAAATGTGTGCCGTTTTTAACTATATTTTTCCGTACCATCCTCCTTATTAGATTCTTCGTACTGAAGACAGTCCTAAGAGTCCGAACGTCTATTCGTCAACAAGTGAAAAGCAAGACAACGAAACAGAAAACCAAACCCGCGGTTGCTTGGAAGAGAAAAGAAGTGATTGCTCAAGTGAGTCTGGATTGATACCTGATACAGTGGTGGAACATGCTGATAGATTATTGAAGGAAATGATTGACGGTAAGGATAGACAAAACCCTCAGGACGACAAAGAATCGATTGTAACTATCGATTTATGGGACTTCGCGGGACAGCACCTGTATTATGCTGCTCATTCTGTATTTTTTACTAAAAGAGCCGTGTACATCCTTGTGCACAATCTCAGCAAAGAACTGAATGACCCAGCCCAGCCTTGTGCAAGACAAGGTTGTCATAACATTATCTTGGAAAACCCTGGCCGAATAACAAATCTAGAGGATCTGCTTTCATGGCTTGCCACCATTCACAGTATCAAACCGAAGGACGAGGGAATGCCAGTTGACAACTCAGGCACAGGGATTTCCTATCTTCGACCCCCGGTATTCATTGTTGGCACACATGCTGACCAACCAACAGAAAATATCGAGATTGTGACAACAAAGATACAACAAGCTATATCTGGTAAGGAGTACGACAAACACGTGATCCGACCTTTCTTCAGCATTGATAACACACAAGGTCACCAATCATCGTTCGGTAAAACACAGAGAAACGAATCTGTGTTACCCAAGGTTAAGAGATTGTTCGTTGGGAAGTCGCAAAGGAGTCATCAGAGAGGTAAGGTAAAAAAGATGTAAGTGGAAAAAGTTGCTTTTCTGGCAAACTTTAAAAAATATGTCATTATATTAGCGGTCATTTATCCATAAGGCGGACGGCATTCATGCAAATCTAGACTGTAATGAATCCAAGTCAATTTCAAATTACTGTCACTAGCTATAGATTTCTTTGTGATGTGTGAAAAATTAAAAAAAAAGGTGGAATTTACCATAATTAGTGAAACAGAGCGGTTATTTTTGGAATAATCTGGTCTTGAAGATACTTACCTTAATGAATGGAGAAGAAAGTTCACTCTCAAATCAATTTGTTATTTGATATTTCTGTCATATTGTGTGAGCACGAGATAGAACTTCTTTTTTATCCAATGCGTACATCTGACAGGAGAAATAGCCCTTGTATATATGATAGCGTGGTGACCTCAAGATAGTAATAGAGGATACTAGGTACTGTTTTTATTTTTATCTTACTCATGATTTTAAGGAAAAAGTGGAGAAAAAGGCAAAGCTACTGGGGATGAGATTCATATTCTTCGTGCCAAAATTATGGAGATTCTGCGACAGGAGCCATACATGGGAGAGAAAATACCAGTTAGGTAAAGTGCGTTTGCATACATTTTAAGTAAAGACGACTAAAATGAAATTTGATATCAGGGTTATGATATTATAATAAGATCTCCTGCATTCGCCGTGCAACATTTCAAAATTTTGCTTTTTAGAATCCCTCATATCTGCAATGAAACTCCTGGGTGAAATTTTGAGGGCACGAGTTCAAAGAACAATGTTGATTTGCTCTCGGTAAAACAGGGGATTTTGAGCAGTCTAATCTTATGTTAGCCTGTTTTGTATCAATGACAATTTTACTTGAGAAGTATCTATTAGCTTGCGTGTGGAATCACTATATAACTTAATAAGCCTCTGGCCTTTGAGACTACAGTCGAACCTCTACTAACGGCCACCTCTCTACGATGGGCTTCTCCACAACGGCCACGTTTTTCGGTCCCGGCAGGCTGCCAATACATTGATTTAAACCTCTCTGCAACGGACACTTTCTTCTGTCCTAAAGGTGGCCGCTGTGGAGTGGTTCAACTTTATTGCCTTACTTTTTCAACAGGTGGTTTAACTTTGAAAAACTTGTGGAGACTTTAGTGGCTAGCAATGTTTATTTCATGGTTGTGGAGGAGCTTCGAACGCTCGTCGAGAATGCGAACATAATAGAAGGGGATGACCATTTCAAAACCATGCTTAATTTTTATCACGACTTGGGGATGATTGTTAAGCACCGCAACACGGTCATTCTTAAAGCTCAGTGGCTAATTGATCTGTTCAGGAAGTTGATAACCATTCCAACATTTGACAAAATGGTAGGAAATGCCTTATTTACGTTAAAAAGTGTTTTTTCCTTATGATAAGTATAAGAAATAAAATCAGTCCAGTTATGAAGTGATGATAGATAGTAGCCATGTTTTATGGTGTTCCCATACTCGACAATTTTAAGCGGGCAATGGTTTTCAAGCTCTGAGTTGTTGAATTCGCTGATTAAATAAACAACTTTGGCCAAATAGAATTGTCAGCCTTACATCCACGATCCTCGCAGTAGAGAGCGCTATTTATGCAATAGCAAAAATCAGACCTGAAAAAAATCAGGCCTGTACGGGATTCGAAACACTGACCTCTGCGATACTAGTGCAGCGCTCTACCAATTGAGCTAACAAGCCAACTGGGAGCAGGCCGTTAAGTTGATTCGTAATAAACCCGTGATGATAAATCACGATCCTCTACTGCGAGGATCGTGCATCATACGTATCTACAACCGCAGTTAAAAATATATGAACTTCATATTTTCATTGTATTCCATTAAATTGTCTTCAAATATTTAGTTTTATTCTCTTTTTGAATTTTACATTAAATTTTCCGAAGGTAGCTAGTGTTGTTGAGTTTGCTATTTCTGTATATTTTAAGTATTCATGGGAAGTATACTTCACTTTATGTGCTAATTGCGTTCTTGATTAGGATCCTGTGGAATCAAAGCACTGGCCTGAACTCGAGAGAAATGGTGTTCTCAGCATGGAGCTTGTTGATCACGTGTTTACAAAATTTCTTCGTCGAGGCGTTATCAAAGAAGACATCTTGGACATGATGGAGCAGTTTGGTTTGATTGCTAAGTTCTCTTCACCAGCTCTGCCTGACGTGAAGTATTTTGTACCATGTCAACTGAAGTCCCCACCAATAGAGCTTTGTAAAATGGAGCCATCATCCACTGATCCTTGTCCATTGTATCTTTATTTCCTCGATGGTTTTGTCCCGCATGGTCTTTTCCCACGGCTTGTCTCTAGTTCGACAGCTTGGGTGGCTACGACTGGATCTTCACACCTGCCGAAACTCTACCAGAATGGAGCTTGGTTTGTTCTAGAGGGAAAAGTCATACATGACATGATCCTAATTTGCAAAAAAAGATTTATAAAAATACTACTGAGGGAAGTAAAGGAAGCCAAAGCAGTTGCACTCCCGCTCTCAACTTCAAGATCTGCAGAAGTTGCAAGAAGAGTGAGATTGTTCTTGAAGAGCAGCTTAGAACATTTTTCACAAGAATTCCCATATCTGAGCAAACTGAGGTATCAGTTCTCCGTCGAATGCCCGTACTGTTTGCAAAGGGTGGAAGAATGTGCAATCCACAGAAAACCCTCTTGTACACATGAGGACTGTTTACACCTTCTCGAAGTTAAACAAGGAAAGCATCTGATCTGTATGGAAAGCGCCGGATACAACGAAGTCTTGACAGTTCAAGGACGGGACTTGTGGTTTTCATCGGAAGGAACCCAGGTACTATCATCATTTATTATAATAACAATACACTTCATCGAAGAAATAATACCATTTGCAACTCATTTTCACTTTGCTGATAGTCATTTGGGAAATATTCCTTAACGGTTCTTCCGTTAAAAGGGTAGAATCTAATGGATAGCTGAGCGACATACAAACCGTGTCATTGTTTTGTCTTATCGTTCCGACAGCTGATTTTTTCGGCCCATCGGATAGTCAGATAACGTCTGCGTAATGTGATTTAAAGGACGGCCAAGCTCTCAAACTTTTGTTAATAACTGACCCTTTGAAAGCGTGAAAACCCTAGCCTAACCAAGGGCCGAAAGTGGCCAACAGAAGAGTGAATAATTAAAATGGAAAGAGCAAGCAAACCATCTGCAACATTTGATTGCATTTTTTACCACGTTTTTACCCCGTGGTATGATGTCATACGACGTCATACAGTGAGGTTTTAGGTATGGAGGGAAAAAACTAACTCGCTCACCCAATTCTGATTTGTCAGGAAGTTCATTTGTGCATTAAGTGTGGATTTATTCCCTGCTTCCCCTACAAGATTTTGTATTGTCCCCATAGTCGTACTTTCGTCTTCTTTTTCATATCATGAATTTCTCATCGGCTAAGAAGCTCAAAGAAAAGCTCGACCAAAAAATCGAGGATCTACAACAGCCCCAAGCCTCGAACCATACAACAACTTCTAGTTCCTCCTGTTCTTCCCCTTGATTTGTAATGATCTTAGGTATAGCGCATTAGATCATACATCAAATGAATTTTGCGCTATAGTAAAAATTAAATTATTAAATTATTATACGAAAAAATCCTTAGTCTTAATGCTTTCCACTTTTGCTCGAACAACCAACAACAATGCATAAAACCATCCCTTCTTTCTCACATGAACTCTTCGTTAGATACGGTTTGTTTACGCTCGAGGGACACCAAGATGGCGGATAGTAACCGTTGCTAAAGTATTGGTCACGTGGGTGAAACCCAAGGATACACTTGAATAGGGGAAGGAATGGAAACTCGGTCCAGTCATAATACTCTCACATCCAAAATGGCGGGCTCAATTGGCATCATGTCATGTCTCGTGTGGAATATTTCATTTAAACAGCAGCCATAGTGTTTTGTCATTCAGCTCTTCTGAATGTGGATTCTCTCTTTGTTGGATAGTCCATTTATTCAGTTCTAAAGTACCCAAGATCTCTGGGGGATCACGAGTCACCTGGAAGGTGCTCACTGCGGCACATAAGCTTATGGTCATGCTCGCTATGTGATGGGTATTTGCAAGAGATATTCAGTTTATTCAAAGGTCAGGCATAGATCATCTTTTAACGATCGTTTTATTCTGAGCTTAATGGTTAAGGCCGGGTTAAGGTCACTTTAATTTCAATTAAAAAACGGCCTGACATAATATAGAGACTTTGGATACTTGGAGTATACTATGTATGGAAATATGGCCTAACAAACATAGATCAGAGAAAATTCAATATCTTTTAAAAATATTGCTATATCTAGGCCAGAACATCATCAATTGTGCTCTATGATGGGTGCAAGGTTTTCATAGGAAAAAAATTACCTTTATTTTGCTAAACCGTTGGGTGTTTGCAATGCTAATGAGAGGCCCTCGTAGAGTAATTATAAGCTATGAGTCGAGGTATTTCTAGATAATGACATTGATTTAGCTTTAATGTTTCATTTTCACTCACCAAATACAAATTAAAGGCTTTACGTCAAGACTTTGGTCTGTTTAAAGCATTATTATTGCCTCCCGGTTAGCTCAATGGATAGGGCGCTGGACTATTATGCGGGCGGTCGAGGGTTCGAGCTCCGGCCGGACCAACACTCAAGGTCTTAAAATAATTGAGAAGAATGATGCATAGAGGTATATCATGAATACATCGAGTGATCAACAGAATTCAAAATGGCGTTTTTCGTCGGGCCGTATGCTAAAAATCATCGACGGGGTTTTTCCTTCCTCTCGCTACATCTTGATCAATCCCTAATTAGACGTATCGTTTTAAAAAATGCATGAAAGGTACGATACGCACCATTTGATTCGCTCTCGCCTTCTTCGACCAGCTTGTAAATTAAAATTTATTTAACGCCCTTTCATTGCGTGAATCTTAGTATTTATATACTTGGGAATAAAATGTGTTACTATTTTTTCAAAGGATCCGTCAAAAACTGGTAGTTTGAGAGTTACTCTTTTAGCGAGTGAGTGGGGATCATCTATGGGTGGCATGTCTACCATCAATCGACAGCTTGCCATACTCCTGGCCAAACATAGGGAAATAGAAGTCACCCTCCTAGTTCCAAAATTTAGCTGCTCTGAAGAAGACAGGAGGACCGCTTGGAATCACAATGTCCTTATTAAAGAAGCAGAGAAACGTCCAGGTTTTGACCCCCTTGACTGGTTGAGCTTCCCACCTAAAGATCTCATCATTGATGTAATCCTGGGTCATGGAGCCCAGCTAGGTAAGCAAGCTCAAGTCATTAGGGAGTCCCACAATTGTCAGTGGGTGCAAGTAGTCCATACTGCGCCTGAGGAGCTCGGAATGTTCAAGACCCATCCTCGAGCTGTTGCTAAAGGAGAGCTGAAGACTACAACTGAGGTAGATTTGTGTAAATTGGCAAATCTAGTTGTAGCGATTGGACCCAAGTTGGCAGAGGCCTATTCTGCCTATCTTCGCCCATGCCAGAAGCAGCAAGATATCTTAAAGTTGACTCCTGGAACTTTCAAAGAGTTTTCCGCTTTAATACAAGATCCAGTTGACTTAGGAAATTTTAGAGTGTTGACCTTTGGTCGTGGTGATCCAGAGGACTTCAGTCTGAAAGGGTATGATATCGCTGCCAAAGCAGTTGTTGAACTGAATGACTACTCGTACCATCTGATATATGTGGGTGCACCTGATGGAAAACAAGAGGCAGTCAAAGAACGTTTGCTGCAGAGTGGTATTTCTAATCGTCAGCTGACAGTAAGAACGTTTTTGCAAGACAAAGAGAAGTTGAAAGAGTGTTTTTGTGAGGTTGATCTCTGTATCATGCCATCGCGGACGGAAGGGTTCGGTCTAACAGGGTTGGAAGCCTTATCAGCTGGTCTTCCTATTCTTGTAAGTGGAAACTCAGGGTTCGGAGACGCACTCTGCAGCGTACCATCGGGGAGATCTTTTGTGGTTGATTCTGATGACCCCAAGGTGTGGGCTGAGGCAATTGCTGGTATTCGTGTGAAAGAGAGATTAGAACGTCTTCAAGAGACTCAACTTCTTCGGACACATTACGAAGAGCAATTTAGCTGGGAGAAACAGTGTGACCGTCTTGTTGATAAGATGTGGAACAAAGTTTATGGTGCGGGTATGTCGATGATTATTAATAACGTCTTTCTGTAGACTTTTTTT